GCTACAGAAGCAGCAAATGCCTTGCGGACGCAATTGCTTCCACGTTTAAGAGAGTTTCGCCATCGAGTAATCTTCCGACCTTTGTGATCTCTCAACCAGGATTCACCCACATCGCTTTTACCCCAGAAATTGTGTTACAGAAGCTGCCGTCTCTGCGCAACCACAGCTCCCTGAGTGTGGATAGCATTCGTCCAGAGACAGTGAGCAGTAGCAAGTAAACTAACGGAAACTTTGACTCAGTTTTCTAGCTATGCTTAGAGCAGGACAAGGTTCCCACTATGGAGAAGCTTGAAATAGTAACTCCGATTCGTAAAAGCGGAAGCAGAGCTGAACCTTCAAACTACCGCTCAGTTTATCTTCTCCCTATACAGTTCAAGGTCGTGGAATCCCTCGTTACCGATACGCTGGTGTGTTAGCTGGAAAGCTGTAACATCATTACTCCCTATAGAATTGAAGCCTGGTAGCTCAGGTTGTTCAGATGGCGGTTGAACTGTTCGCTGAGCTTGGCAATTTTGTTGCAAACTTTTCGTCACCAATCGAGGTGACATCCTCAGTGCGTAATTGAGTGGCCTGCAATCGCGTAGTGGAGCGTAGAAGAGTCTCGGTGAGAGTGCGCTGAGCGTGGTGTTCGTGCGTTTTTATACCGCCGTGGTTGTCCGTGGAGCCGAGCAATCCTTTTGGTTGGGACTTCGGTCCGCGTTCAGTTTGGTTGATGGGCAGATGACCTTTGATCTCGCCTACTTATGTTTCGTGGCCTTTGTCTGCTTGCTCTTGCGAGCGAGTCTGCCGTCAGTTCTGATTGTCTAGTCACATGTTCCACCGGATTCAATCGATCGAGTTGGCGGTCGTTCACCAGTAGTGTGCCGTATACCACATCTAGTTCGATGTGTCGATTGATTGAATGCGTTGTAGAGTACCAGGCTTCCAAGAACTCCTTCGAGTGTTTTGTACTTCCATGTGCTAGGATCTTTACATTCTCCAGATCGAAATGGTGGCCTTCTTGATCTTCATGCGCAGGAACAAATGAGTGCGGATCATACCTTCTGATGGCTGCCTTGTGTTCGGTGATTCGTGTACAAAGTTTCCTTCCAGTTTATCGGACGTAGATTTTATCGCAGTCGCTGTTTTTTAGCTGGTAGATGACAGCATGCATCGGCTTGATTGACTTTTCCTTTGGGTCTTGAGATCAATTTCCTTAGAGTGGCACTTGGCTTGTGAGTCATAGAGATTCCAGGTGATTGCAGCAAACTTCCTGTTAGTTCGGAGACGTTCTTGACGTAGGGAAGCAGTATCCGTTTGTTTGACTGATCAGATGACTGCTGCTGCTGTTGCTGAGGCGTTCGTTTCTTTAAGCTTATTCCGATGAAACTTCTCTGATAACCGTTGTTTCTAAACATTCGATATAGGTAATTTTCTTCCTGTTTCCGCGATACGGCTGTGCTACAGTGCTTTCCCGCTCTTTTGAACAGCGTTTGAATGCAGCTCTTCTTGTGATTCATTGGGTGGTTGCTGTGGTAGTTTAATATCTGGTCCGTATGCGTTTTCTTCCGATATACGCACGTTTCCATAGATCCGTCTATATTCCTAGTGACCACTACATCCAAAAATGATAGCTTGTTATCCGCCTCTAATTCAATCGTAAATTTGATATCCGCGAATGTGCTGTTTAGCCAATCGAAAAAATATTGATGGGGCCAACCCGATCCTGTACATACTGGAAGCGCGCCTGGCCGTGGGGAATCACATGTTAAATATGTTTCCATTTTTGAACAGTCATGCTATATCAACCAGCCGCAACAGCGGTGTCCATACAATGGGTTTACTGTCATTGTATTGCAAATGGTGAGACACGCAAAAAAACGAAAAGGTGTTTGTAACTCAAAATACTTCCTTCAGGGTTTACAACTGCAAACGACGCTGACAACAGTTAAGGTAAGTCCACAGCTTATGTTTAATACGTTAGCCCAAGATCCTCGGTGCTTTTGCGTTCATATCATCTAGCGATAAGAACTGTGTCTTTTCGAGCATTGAGCTGATTTTTAAGATTTGCCTGAAGTCTAACTGAGCGAGATCTGGCAGATAGGATGAGTGCACTAGCCCGCTGCTGTTTTTATAAGCTAAAAATGGCTTCACACCCATAAAATAATAATAAATATATAATGTGTCAGCTGTACGCCGTAACGGCGCTTCGCTGCCGCGTGACCACCACCAGTCGCGCGCGGGCTGAGTAAACCGCGAGGACACCCACCCCTACGCGGATTCGAACCGGTGACCTTATGGTTGCAAACCAAACACGCAGACCCCTCGGCCACCGGCCGACTCACACTCATAAAGTCGTGGGCTGATGTTCTTTCCTGAAACAACCCTCGGCCGTTTCCTTCTCACATATTCACACAATTTTATTCAATGCAATACTAGTGATTACCGTCTGTACAAATTGAATTCCTCAGCGAGTACTCTTACCCGTAACGTTCGGCTGGTTAAATACATAGCCCACACATTTCAGTGCTGTCATAATTCCCAGCTATGAGTGGACTGTCTTGGTGACCACTATTTTTCACTCTTTATCTTACTATCGAAAATCGTTTGTGTCATTTAAAACGTGCAACAAAAGTAATCTTCACCGTAAGCCACTTTGGTTTGACAACAAACTTGATGTTAACTCGTTCACTTTTATGGTCCATTATTTTCCTACTGGAATCCAGGAATTGCGTATAGCTGAGAAGGAATCCACTTTTATGAAGTAGTACGATTAAGCCTTGTAACATCACGACAAATGTGAACATATTCGGCAAACCTCTGGCTGTATCTCTCCTCCCACTATTGGTTTCCGAGGTATAGGATTTTTCGTGTTGTTCTGTATCTCACCTTGTATACATGCAATCCAAATAAAGCTAGATCCATAGGGTTAGGTCAGGTCATATAACACACCTTTTCCGTAATTAAAGTTACAGTGACAATATTGCGGATGTGAAATTCCAAATCGTCAATCAAACCATTAATGAGCGGAAAGTAATACTTTTCAGTGTCCGGTTGTAAGAGTAATGCACAATACTAGTTGGTATGTGAAGTATCAGCATTGCCGTCCAGTCGAAGACGTGAGACCTCATGGAGGTCTAGCTGAAACATGTTCGTCGGCCCGTAGCCTAGAGGTGATGAGCTGGTCTCGTAATCTTGCGGCGCGGATTCGAATCCGCGTATGCGTGGGCATCCTCACGGTATATACTCAGCCCTCGTGGGACTGGTGATGTTCACAAGGCAGCGCAAGACGCCTTTACGACATGCAGCTAACACATTATTTCTTAATTATTGCGGTATATTAGGAGTTTCGCGTTATTTTTGCAGCTTTTCAACTATACGTCAGTTTCGCATGTAAGCCAGAATGTAAATGAGGTACGATAGTAGACTATCTTGAGCGCCTTGCTCGGTTACATGAAACATCTGATTGGATGAACCACGATTATGGCAAAATGGTGTGGGTTCTTGCTTGGTGCAATTCTCACTCCCATAGTTTCCATCTATCCCATTGAACAAAAATTTAAACGAGTACCTGCGTGAATCAGGCTTCGTTGTATAAACGATATATGGGAATTATCGAACGCTTTCGAGTAACAAGTCGCGGTCATCCAGTTGATAATAGTGACTTTGGCTGACTTTAAAAAACAGGTTCCCACTCGATATTGCAAATGCTACTCACGAGACCGAGTAGCTCAGTGATGAATCCGTTCACTCGATAAATAAGAGGTTCGAACTCTTCGGGTACTCTCTATTAGAGAGACCAGAAAAGTCCTAGATCATAGGATTTAAAGTCAGTAGGAACTCGAGCGAGCTTCTTTCACTCATACCAAACAGCATTTAATTACTCCAGTTAGCAGTTTGGTCAAAGGATCCAGGCTGGCTGTCGTCAACGAACCCTATGGTATCGCAGAAGGGTAGTTTCGGTGTGGAACTTGCAAATACTTTTCATTAATATCAGTCATTATCCTTTAAATGCTGCAAATTCCCCTACCACCCGCGTACAATTAGTAACCTGATCTCCAGTTCAGAGGATTGATCCGTTCCAACTTGCATCAGTAGCCTGTATGCCATACATCACTGATAGCGGCGGCCAGTCATGTCGATCCGAATCCATCACGCACGTACTGCCTCGCAAGGGAATAGTCGTGGATTTAAACAGCGCAAGAACAGAGGGGAAGCACACTGTGTACAAATTTCGATAACAGGAGCAGTCATTCAGTGCTTTCCGGATGCCTATTGGCCATCTGACTGGAGATGATTACGACAAAACTTCTCAGATTACATCCAGAGGTACGTCAAAGATGGATGAACATGGGCTGAAGGGACAATATTAAAGACTATATTAACGCACCTCCGTTTCGAAGGCTGGCACTTCATCGTTCATTGCATTATATTTTTTACCAAACTCCGCAAGACATCACGTGATCCTAAGTACCGGTTTGTCGGTATGGCTCATATTGACCAGACTTGCCGGTATGCTTTCTAAGAGCAGGCATGTGTTCCAATATGGTGATGTTTTCGCCGAAAGGAAAATTAATCTTGTCTGTGTGGTGTGGTTAACAAGGGCCGTTTTATTCTGATGGAATCGCGCCAACATGCCAGAGTCAGCTCCCACGCTCAAGTGCGGCACTGTTTAGAAGAACATACAAGTCACGAGGTGCAGTGAACATAGTGTAACTCTCACACCCAAAGGTAACAACGGCTTAGCAGCGCTACGCTACATGTTGACTAACAATTGGTATGACTGGATGCTCAGCGCAAGAATGAACGTACGTCCATACACAATTGCTTGTGAGAGTTCTCTTACGCGACAAATGCTCATTTGTGGAGGCCGCTTGTGATAGCCACAGCGGATGATTAATAGTTCTTATCAGTTTACCGATCGGTACTGAATTAGTATTTTAACTACGGCATGTGTTAATGTGATTACAACAAAGCAACCGGAACCTCCATGACAGATAAAATTACAAGAGACCACCAACCTTCACACATACGGCCCGGTCTCCATAACTGTTGATTGAACATTGGACAGCATGATTCACAATTGTTCCCGCATGTGTTATGCTGGCATACACACACAGCGCGAGGCAATCCCTGTAAAGAAACCACATTACCGATTAGGTAAACTTGGAACCGTAAACAGTTACAAATTATATGCCAACTGAAAGATGTCTAACATAAAATCACTAGGTTCCGGGGCTGTCTTTCAAATGCGGTTGTCCCTTCTTGAAGTGAGCAAAGATGCACTAAACCGTGTTTGGAGCCAGAAAACAGTCGCTTTTCGGATGTGGTCACGCTGATGCTAGGACTAAGGCTTATCTCCGGGGAACTCGTGGTCTCAGTTGGCATTCTGTTTCAGAGCCTAAAGGCACGAGAAGTGCTTGACAGAGAAATGGAGATTCCTGACCGTTTCAATATGTGGTACGGTGATCAATATACCAGTCCCTAGACACAAGGTACATAGCTCAACTCTGCTTCCGTCACGCCCATCTGAAGAGTCCCAACAAACTCGAAACGAATTGCAAGATGAGCAAGGTATAAAACATCCCGATGAGTTGGTGGTGCCTAGATGTGCTCATATCACCTGGGTCAACATGCATTGAGCCCAGAGAAATCTTTGGGATGCATACAACGGTTTGTGGTTTGAACTTCTGAATAATAGGTATAGTGGGGTAAAACCCCGGCGAATCGTCACTCCCGGGTGCGATTGTTGTACATGCGTAAACCCAATGCTGTCTGAGCATCCACCTAATAATAATAACAATAATAATAATAGCTGTAGCAAACATACCAATAACAGTGGGTATAATAATAATAATAATGTAAGCTATTCTTTGTAAAGAGAACAATAAGAATATGGTCCTTTTCAGAAGCTTATTTGCGAATGCCACTCAAATACACATGTGTCACTGGCTGAACATCACCCGTCGTTTTTGCGTGCAGTTGGAGCGGTAAACAGTATGGTCACCTATTAAAAAATGAAGATGATGACTCACCTCGACAACTCGCTGTTCGCAACGGTTTGCGTGGCTATTGCACAGGCATTTTCCACCCACTTTGATTGTACGAATGGAATAGTAGTACTGTTAAATGATGCAAAAGGCAGCCAGCAGTTGTGAGTTGTATACGTTTAAGAATAGATATAGAATAACTGAGTCATTAAGCAACTTGCAACCTCTATTATTATTGATAGCAAAAACGATTACAGTTCACTATACCGTGCAACATCCTTAACCGTCTCTAGTCTGAATTGACTCACTTGGCGCTTAGTTAACTAGCTTTATTTAGCTGTGCACCAGCATAAGCATGCTTCCTAGTAAACGCTCCCTCGTGTAAAATACCAAGTTTACACAATGAGAAAAATATGAAGCATTAGGAGACACGGTGCATAGAAATGTTGGGTGAGTACAGTAGGTAGAAAAATTATGGCGACTGTTACACATTCTTTCACAAATCAAATGCAAGGTTCCTCCTCCAAATAAACCCATAGTCCTGAAAAGATGCCCTTTAATAAGTACAAAGAGATAACACTTGTAAATACCGAGCATTATAATCTGACAGATTCACACGTTTGTAACTATACAGCCAAATTGACACCCCGTTTGTCATTGGTGAATATGAGCACTTCGGTCGTACCGTGGCCGAATGGCACTGGTCTGCTGCGGCACCTTTCATTGCCAAATCTGAATGTTAACGAGCTAAAATTACTATCATTGTAACAGAGTTTTCTGGAGAAGATCCGAGACACTCGATGAGCTCACCGGGATGATGTAAACACGAGGACGTGCGGTATAACTGATGCATACTAGGTGTCTTTAGTGGTGTACAATGTGAAGTGGTTCCAAATACAAACTTGGACTTGGAGAAGTCGCTGTGTGGTTGGACCGTGACACGCAACCTCTAATGAGACGTCGGTTCCAAATACATTCCTAGATATCGTTTTATCACAGTTAATTCGCCACTGCATAACGCAAAAATGGGGAAGATCTTACCTTATTTGTTATAGCACATAATCCATCACATCAGCAGGAGATTCTTTGTTTTGTGGAAGGTGAACTGTCGAGTCAGTAGACAACAAGGGTAATTCTGGCTATAGATGGACTATAAAACACCGCGCTACATCCCGAATGTAGTAGTATTATTTTACCTAGGTAAAAATCACCAAAGTATTAGTGCAATCTTGTTTGCAGTTTTGTAGGCCACTTGCCGGTCTGCGTGTTAAGCTCATTACTCGGTTAAATTGTATTATTTACCACTCCGCCAGCCGTTCATCTCCTCACCACTTGGACTATTTGCATCTTCCTGTTCGAGTGCCTACTTTAAGCATCGTGTAAAATCTATGGGGAATAGTTTAAGGTCTCAGTAGTACCGAGGGTCTTTCTCACCAAGTAAGTACCTTTACATATGGCATGGGATAGTCTGACCATAACTTATATATGGACTTTAGCACAGTGTAGATCTCAACGATGATGCGGCACAGATACCTCAACCGGTTAAAAAGTATGAAATATGAAATATAAACATAGAACAAATCGATAGTGACCCAGAGGTATGATGTGGCGACCACACCAATATGTATGCTGATGTAGCTGAACTTTCGTAACCGTTTTAAGTTTGTTTACTTCTAATATAGTGAACCGAGGTATTGTTTCTACCTTCCGGTGTTTAGTCACACACACACACACACACACACACACACACGTGTGTACCTAGCTGATACAAACATCCGGTTCGACTGGCGCGGCTTCCGGCATGACGAATCCACCTATGGGTAACGACCTAAACGAACATCGCCGGCAAGCGCGTCATCACGTAGCAGACACAAATTGGCTATGGGCCAATTCAGAGTGAAATCGAAGAGATTCACCTACCTACCTGCACATATGTATTTGCACACACGTTACCGATTCAGAGACATTTACTCGACTCTCTCTGTGCTAGTGCCACAAACCCAGAGCATCGAACCAACAAATATGAGAGCATCAGATTTGCAAATAAGCACAAGGCAGCCACATGCGAGTTCTTCGTATTTACTCGCGGTGTGGTCCCAACCAATCCATCTATCATTACGATGTAATGTCACACCTGTCGTTAAACTGAGCCTATTTGTCGAACGCGTAGGTTTTTCTGGTGCGCGCGCGAAGATACAGCCTGAGATCAGAAGGAAAGAGAGCGTTTCTATGCTTTGCTACTCAGTGCCGCGTAAATGAAAACAACAATCACTTAAGGTGCCTTCAAACAAACGAACTCACGCGATTGTACACAGAGCTATCCAGTTGGTTAGGCATGGCCATCCAGTCTCCCGATAGCGTTTGCAGCTTCTGGAATCGTAATCTTACAAATCTTGCAGATAGAAAATCCTGTGTTCAGGAAAGAAAAGTTAAGTACATATTAGTATCGGAATTTGACGTTATTTTATTGAGAATCCATCCTAAAGGCTTTCAAATCGGATAACCTATCACGCATCCGGGAAAGCGTCAGACGACCGTTTCGCCGTAACGTATCTTATGGCGATCCGCCGTCATCATTCGGGGCCTAGTGGCATAATCTGCCAGCGTGTGACTCAAACCACCATTGTTGAGAGATCATGGGCTCGGCTCCTGATGGAACCGAGGGACACATATCAACGACGAGCCCTGCGAGGCCGAAACAGCTGTCCAGTGCTCTTCCGGATAAAACTGGTAGAATATCTGACTAGGAAGCGATGAACTGTCAATAAAAGTTATGCACTTTGTTAGAGCGAGAGAGAGTACAATGCATTCGAATAGGGTGCAAAAGAAAATTTGTCTTTGGTTTCGTAAAGCGGAGTGGCTAAGTTGCACTTGGCAAATGAACATCAATTAACCGAAAAGCAGTCACTCAGGATCCACCACGGAAGGTTATTTCCGCATCCTTCAAATAAATCAAAAGGGCTAACTCCAGACCCAATGTGGAGCGCTCCATTTTTGTACCCATCAGTTGTGAATAGCCACAGGCAAAAAGTGCGTATCTCTACTTCCCAAAGCATGACTTAATAAACAAATTTCATAAGTGTTCTGCCCATTGCTCTGGCTTCAGTGATTCGTAGGCTATATTGATCAAGCCACCCAGTTGAACAGTGCCTCGCACCGTCGAAGAATAAACCGTTTAGTTAGTATTTATTTATATGCAGTACTAATTCGTCCTCTTCGCCTATACCAAAGGGTATCAAAGGTACATTCCAATTCAGAGCATACGCTGTACTTCGACAGAAAAGCATCGATGACAGAGGGAAAAAATGGCGAAGTGATAACTGGAAACATCGCGCATTTTCAAACCGGAAGGTGTTGAAAAACGTGTAAAATAACCTGGGATTGTACAATGAAATTCGCAACAGGCAAGCATTTATTAAAATGCTTGATGGTGTAAGAGCCCGTAGTGCAAAATTATTCTATTTGTTTTCTTGATAACAACGATAATACCGTAGTTGAGGGACTAGAAGTGACATTGAGTGTTGTGGAGTTGCGTGACACAAGTGTGTGACTGCCGTCATGAATGTGAATCCGAACGAATGGTGCACGGTCAACGGTGCATATGGGGTAAAGAAAGTAAGAATAAACTTAACGTGACAGGGACCCATCCATCTTCCAGCTACCACGCCAACCATGACTAGCAGTTACAAGGTTATTAGCCAGTATACATGACATAAGCGATCAATGAGGAGGGTGCGATCAGACAGAAAAACGGATATGTTTAAAGATAGTCAGAATCAAGAGGATGAGTATGCAGGTGTGGATATCCACTACAGACGCAGTGATACATGGTTCGTGGCTAGCGGTGCACAGAGTGCGTAAAATGATACCCATGAGAGTGGACGTTCACAAATGTACAAACACGCCACTTTCGAGAGGTACTTGGTTTGAAAAGTGATTTGCTACAAAAGGATCACACGTCGACAGGAAAAATGCAAACGAATTCATACGATTAATACGTATGTTTGAATTGCTGGCTTGCCGAACAACTTCCTCGTGGTGTCAGCTGGGGGGTTTGGAATTACCCCGTTCCAGCAAATCGTTCGGCAGCAGTGTTTCAGGACGTGGTGAGCTTTCGCCTGGCATGCGATCTCCCTATAAAAATCCACATATATTCGTTTAACAACGCTGTGAAATGGCAGATATGACTCGCCACTAAATAAAGTCAATGCCCCTTGCTTCAAACTGGCGAAGCATGTTAATGCTGAAATTGTGAGCAGCATCGGGCTCCTATTTGGCAAACGAACAAACGAAAGGCGTATGAACGGGACAATCAGCCAGCGGCTCCCAATGAGCGCCATTCCCTGAATTCGTTCCGCTGACTTGCGGGCAGGCCATTTGCCAAAGGACCGGGGTGGTGTTCGCTAAGTCAACATCCTACTTCGGCTTGGCCAACCGGGTAGTACCTCGCCCTCTGACGAAACTATGAACTTCTCCGTGTTGTGTTGCGTTTTATAACGATACCTGTACCTTCCTTTGTGTTCCATGGATTTTTATGGCTCCATACCTATTCGTAAGCTATTGCATATATATATATATATGTTTGAACTTTAAAAATTTGCGCCGTGTCTTTGTTGCCGTTTTATTATCGGGATATACTGAAGTACTTCTTTGGCCTCAATGGCTTTATTAATCAGGATGGTTACGAACAACTGACCAGACACTGAAGAAGGATGAGCCCACAAATTGAAGGAGTTGCGCTAAGAGTGCGGGAGGACAGGGTATGGCGGAGAGTGGACACCCAAACGACCGACACAGTGGGTACTTGCAAAATCCATTTACTTTGTGCAGTGTGTAACAGTGCAAACGGACAGAAAAGAATCCAATCAGCCTTTTTCCGGCTACCACTCATATCTGGACGGCACTTACATCTGCTGGAAAGTTATCAGCAGTGCTCAGTTCATCCATTACTGGGGGGGCAAGGCATTTAGACGGCCGTCTAATCGTATCCTAAATACCCATATTAAAGGTAAAGTTCAGACAGTTTGAAGCATTTGGTACCATGTCAATGGATGGCTAATTACCAAATGTCGCGCTTTAGTCAAACGCGCTTCTCAGACACTAGATGAGGTAATTCTGGCTTTATAGACTGAATGGCAAAGGCTCTAGGAGATAATATTCAGAAGTAATTTGTATATGATTGACAGTGGATGAGTCTATAAAGTGAGCAATGATTGCATCCTTCTGCACGCTTACCATCCTACTGCGATTAATGGATCAGCTGGACAATTAGGGGTGGTAAAACGCACCATTATATAGGTTAACAATGATGCAAGCTATAACAGTGCAGCGACTATGGAGTTAGGTGCAAGCAGATAGCGTCGATAGAAACGCCGACAACAGCAGAAACAATAACAGACATAAAAATAGGGATACAATGTCAGAATTTTGAAATGGTAAAGTAAAAGTTGCATGAATGCATGAAATTTCTATTGAATGCATTGTTAAGGCTTTTACTTCGCCACCAAGATCTCCAAATGACGGCACAGGGCTTTAAAACGAATGAACTTTCCGTAGGATTGCTTAGAAAAATAGACGAATCAGTTTATTGTTGGTGCAGCTGAATCAGCAGCGATGGGTGTGTGACTGCTGAAATTGGTTCAAGTGTTGCAAAGACTATCCCAGATTTCTTGAATCTGGGAGATCTGTGGTGTCAGAAGGGCGTTCCTCACAGTCTGAAAAGCGGTGTTTACAAAGCCACAGTAAAGGCCGTCCTGCTCTGGGAGTAAGATTTAGGCCCTTCGGTCAGAGGTTTTGAGGGGCCCTCAAGTGGTTGATCATCGATGCCTACAGAGCATTGCTGGTATCTGCAGGGTATCTACAGCGACGATGTGCTAATACGATTACTGGGCGAAGATAGTCAGGCTAGCTCCTTAGAGCAACAAATAACATAGAATAAATTGCTCTGGTTTGAGCAGGTGCCCGGTCACCGCTTACCGAGGCGCACCTCAATTTGTGTGCCAAGAGTAGTGTGGAGTAAAGTTAGCCGTGGGCAAAAGTTAAGTTAGCAGTTGCAAATGAAGTCACTGGCGACCAACGTGTGTGCTGTTGGTTCGTCTCGCTTTTCGGGCTGGAGTCACATGGTCCGCCTTGCGTTTGGCATGAAACTTTACAGGATATGGCTTGCAGTCGGCACCAGTGGCGCGTCTGCTGCCGTTATCCAGTGGGACTACTTGTTAATAGTGTGTTTTATCCTGAGTGATCTGCTGGTAAAGGCTAGGTATGACGCTGGGCTGTGAAAACCGCAAGTAAACTGTCTGATCGATGCACAATCCCCACTGTTTGTAACTGTTTATTATTGTCACGATGTAGCCGTCTTGACAATGAATGTTAGCTTAGGGCATTGCGAGCTTATGTTAACTAATAATATTAACAATGTATCAATTGTACGCCGTAACGGCGCTTCGCTGCCGCGCAACCACTGCCGGTCGCGCGCGGGCTGAGTATACCGCGAGGACGCCCACCCCTACGCGGATTCGAACCGGTGACCTTATGGTTGCAAAGCAAACGTGCAGGCCACTCGGTCACCGGCCGACTTCCCCTTCACACTCCCGTATAGTTCTCCGTTCCGTAGGTCACTTTAGTTGTTTCACAGCGAAGCAACAGCACAAATGGCCGATGTACTTTTGCTGTGAGAAACAGTGCAGTGAAAAAAGCTGCCAATCCTTGTGTCAAAAAGAAATGTTGAAATGGAATGTGTCAAAACGATCATTGATTCACACATCCAAAAGGCACGCATCCAAAAAGGCAGTAATGTTTGAAATAGTGGTTTAGTTCGTCAGAAATGAACAACAGCTCAGATTTAAAAATATGATTTAGTAAACAATATTAGGTGCGACCATAAGTAGACTAAGTAAAACCAACTGAACATGGAAGAAAGTGCAGTGATGAGAGCGAGAGAGAGCTACTCCGGAACTGTGCACTTCAGGTACAGTCCCAGTGATTGAAATGGCAGAGACTGACTTTAAAAGCAACCGAGGCCACAATTCGGATGGCGTGTCCCAATATAAGACACACGGCTGGCGCTACAAAACTCGGCAATGAAATAGAGCATTACCAGAAACAATGTAGACCTACTGAGGAGAAAGTAGCTATAGGATGTCACTAAAAATGGAACTAGAGTTGGTATCAGGTCGACAGAAAAGTCAAAAAGTCTATCAAAAGGTGCCGATGTAAGCTGTCCAGTGTCGTTCAGTGGAGGCGAGGTTGTGCTAAGTAACAAGTTATGTTGAATACCGGGTGAGTAAATAAGAGAAATACTATTTGCAAATCTTCAACCTAAATTGAGGATCGATGCAACCTTGTGTTTTGGGCAAGGCAGCTTGCGCTCACTCAGAGAATAGAGTCGAGAGAATAGATCGCTCTCCAGTTGAGTATGCTGGATGCAAAGAACTCCCCAGTATTTGCTCCTAAATGCACCTTTATTAACATCATATCCGCATATACGACACCAAATCTAGTACCGCTGTTATAGTGATCAGGCGTAGAAATCATCGGTAAGATTAAAACACTTACTATTAGCTTAGAGGAAATTGCTCTTTCGATTCCCGATGGTCCGGCGATTGTAGAGGCTCTATCAAGTGAAAGAGTGACGATAATTTCGCCCGATTGGAGGGCCTGAGGTTGACTGTAGAACGTTGTGCAATAAACCTAGGTGGGTAAAAATAAACAAGAGCAGAGATGAGAACAAGCAGGAAAACAAATTGTAGAGAGGGGTACAGAAGACACCAAAGCTAGATTAACTGTTTTTAGAAGCAACATTTCATTAAATTATTCCTGCCAAGCACACCCGTCATTAAATTAACGCAGTCTCATCCATCAGCTCAGCCTATAGAGGCCACAGATTAATAAGTTGTGGTAAGCAAGGTTAACATCCATTGATTCAAGGGGTAATTTGAACACTGTTGGGCCTGGTTGGTTGTTTAGCTGTTACTTAGTCCGCCGAACCCGACGAAATACTTGCATGCGTTTTGCCACAATGCGAAGCGGCATCATCAATGTGTTACCGTGCATTGGGCAACCTTACCTATTAGATCGTCTATTCAGTGAGTTCATTGAGTTCCTTGAGTTGTAGAGAAAGGGAAGGAAATCCCATCGATTCAGTATCACACTAGATCTGATGCGTGTCGTTGCGTTGCGACTTTCCTCGAGGGTTCGTCGCAATTGCAGTGACAGCCGCAAGATTCCAGCATTATCAACGAATGTTTGTCTAGCAGCCGCTTGAAACTTTCCTCAGATGGCGCATCTGCATTTACTTCCCGTAAGCCGTTCCAAGCATTTACCACTCTAGTGGATAGGGTGACGTCCGTGTAAATTCTGTCTTCTTTGCTTAAATAGTTTCCATGTGTGGCTTCCTACGGAACAATCAGCGATGGGCCGAAAGAATTGTCGTAACTCACTTCCAGGTTCCCCTCGGAGGATGCGCTTAGTGTGGAGGAGATGATGCCGGTGACGGCGGAGCTCCAGGAAGGACAGATTTAGTTGCTGGAGTCGAATGGGATACGGGAGATCACGAAGCCTCAGAACAGCTTTCGCTGCACGTCTCTGAACCTTTTCCAGCAGAATGCATTCAAAATTTTAAAGCGAATGGATAGCTGGTAGGTCATATTCTAAGACTGGACGTACGTACGAAGTGAACACAGGTTGAAAAATCTCAGGATTCATTCAAGCAAATGATCTTCTTAAGGCACCCACTAGTCTCTTTCCAGTGACCAGCCTCTTCAACGTGTCCTGCATCGTTTTAAGGTCAGAAGCCACGACAACCCTAAGATCTCTCTCGAGAGTGGTATTCCTGAGGAGAAACCCACCAACGTCGTATGTACCGTACAGTTCAGTGCTACCAATTGGGAGAACAGCGCATTTATCTCGGTTTACTGGCAATTCCCACTTGATGTAGTGTAGCTGATCTAGAGCCCCTGTAATCTGTCCGCGTCCTCTAAGCTGGACACAGTTGAGCATAGCTTGAGGTTACCGACATAGATCAAACAGTCGGTTTGAAGGGCAGTCGAGAAATAGTTAAGGTACAGCTTGAAGAGCTCTGTTCTAAGCACTGATCCTTGGAAAACGCTACCAGTCATAGGCACAGGAGCAGAGAGGGTTTGGTTCACTTGTAGGCGCATTGTCTGACCTCTTAAAGAACCGGCAATCCAGGAGACAAGCCTTCATGTAATGCCAATTCCCTGGAGTTTATGTAGCAGTCGTACGTAGAACTTTATCAAAAGCTTTACTGAAGTCAATGAATATTATGTCAATCTGTTTTCGGACATCTGTGGCTTCTGCCCATGTTTCTCTGGCGATAAGTAAGTTAGAGATACATGAGCGTGCTTTAAGGAAGCCATATTGAGCGGGTGAGATAATGTTTACGTTCTCACAGTGTGGCTGGAGGGCGCCCTTGACTATTCGTTCCATGGTTTCGCATGCAACTGATGTCAGGCATATTGGTCGACAGTTCGCTGGGTGTTGTTGGTTTCCTCCTTTATATTTGGGCAGGACCGTACCTGCTTTCCAGCCTGTGGGTAGGCAACTGATTTCATGGGATTGCCGAAATACGTGGCAGAGAGAGGCGGCCACGTACTCAGCTTTCGTTTTGCGGAAGCAAGGATACAATTCGTCCAGGCCTGGGGAGCAGTTCGCGTCCAGTTCGAGGGAAAGCTTAGTGACTACCTCGGGGTTAATTACAGTTTGATCCATAGAGGAGTAGTGTGCAGGCAAACAGTTGTTGAGCAGCGGAGATTCCACTGAGTAGACTGAGGAATATTGTGCAGCCAGTAGGTTTGCTTTTTCATCATCGCCGTAGAGTACGGTATCTATTTTAGCAGAGGATAGAGCGGAGATTCTACTACCCGTTTTGGCATTTCGCTTCAGGTAGGCAAAAGATTTTGGGACAATTTTTAGATTCCACGGCCAATCCAGGTTCATGCTGTAGTCTTTTGTCTTGTTTTCTCAGGGTGCATAGGTTTCTGACAGTTTTGTACTCTAAGTAACTTGATGTCAGTCCCGTAACCTTGAAATGGTTCCAAGGTTTCCGTCATTTTTTCAGTAAATATCTTACTTCTTTATCCATGGGGTCATGCTGATGGTGGTCTGCTCCTGAAGTTTGGAACAAACTGTTCGATGAACTGTATGGTCATAGATCGTAGGCGTTCCCTCGCGTCATCAAACTCCAAGGATTGCGGAATACTCCAGTCCATGTTCCTTGCAACCCTTCTTACTTTGGGCTGGTCAGTGCGCCAGGAATTTCGACGCAGTGTCTCCTGATCGTGGATTGTGAGGCGTCGTGTCCACGCAAAGGAGACTGTGCAATGATTACACTTCCCAATAGGTGGGTGGATCGTTAGATCTGAGACATCAGATGGGGCCGAGGGGAGAACCAGGTCTAGAATGTTTGGTGTCTGACCAGGGATTGTCCGTGTTTGTGTCAAGACATGCTGTGTCAGATTGCACTCGTGAACGGTATCAAGTAGAACCATTTCAAAGGCGTCCGGTGGGAGATCACCGTGAATAAGGCCCCAGCTTATGTCGATGGGGGGGTTGAACTCACCCCTAAGGAGACAGTTTGTTCTTCTGCTGTGGGTTCGCATGGAGCGTAATAGGTGTGAGCCAGGTCCTGCAGTGGCTCTCTAGACCATTTCGAGCATCAGCGATTGGTATCCGTCATGAATTCGACACCAGAGTATTTATGACATATCATCCTTACCACAATCGGGTTCGAGAATGTGGGCCTTGAGGCAGTTCTTTGAGTAGAGGATTACTCAGACTCTAGACCTCCAAGCAAAGCGATCGCATCGAAGCAGCTAATATCCTGAAACATGAACCTCCGACTCAGATATATCATAAGACAGCCGAGTTTCGGTGAACGCCATTAGGTCCGGTTGCTGTTCATAGATAAGGAGTAAAAACGCATCTAGCCTGTTTCTGTGACTGCGCGCGTTCGTCAGTACTACCCGTAATCAGTTCTTTATGTTTGAGGTCCGGGAAGAAGGAGGATTGGCCGCAATCGAGCTCTCTGAGTACTTCTGAATACGGGAAAATTCATGTTATACGGGGTGGATATTATAAGTGGTAACTTTGGTTTGCGTCCCATGACCACTGACCATTTTCCCCAGCCGTTGAAACGTTCGCTTCAAGTGTTCGTCACATATCTTGTTTGGAACTTTGCTTTTAAAGCAGTCGTTAGTTAAAATATGTACGATACGGATGATGATCACCAACGATCATAACCGCATCAAAAATATGGAAAGGGAACAACTTTTGTATGAACCGTGGGATAACCGCAGGCAGAATAATTGCGCTTCATAATAGGACGCAGAGCAAAAAACACCGGAATGAAGGCGCCAAAGTTGCCTATCCGCGAACACGGAAATGGCAACGACAACTGAGACGGGAACCTTTCTAACCGACCACCCAACGAGACAGAGCAACAAAAACTTATCAAAGGATTAAACTAGCATTTCGAAGACGTAACATCCGTAGCGTTTTCGGCAAGATTTGAAAACCCTGTACGATCAAGTAGACTTGATGAAGAGATTCAGGAACACTTACGACACACCATCGTTCCCGCCATGAAGTATGTCAAGCAATACCACTTGCCACCTAGATAAGAGTAAGAAGTAATGAAATTCCTGAGATCTGGCGAGACAGTCGTTATCTTTCCTATAAACAATGGACGCATGAAGGTCATATTGAATTTCGGTTTCCTTATTCTTGACGGTAACTTGAAACTTTCGAGCGTGCTGTCTTTTTGGGATTTTACTTTCAAAGGCCAGTTTTGGAACAGTGTTTACAAGTGTCGTGCAAAAAATTTGACTTTTGTCAAATTTAGCCTGCTCCAAATAATTTTGGCTCACCGTTTTCTCCGGATTACGTCGTATCCGTTCTCGGATACTTACCTTAGGTCGTCCATCTTTTTCCGGGTTTAGCCTCGGGCTATTTTGCTGGTACTTTTGTGTTTTTGGATCCGGTTTGCATCTTGTTCTAACCCGTAACTGTTGATGTTGATGGACTTGCAGGTAACAGCTCATCGGTTTTACGTTTTGATGCTTGTTTTGCACTGCCTTTGAGAGCGTTATGTCGGGTTCACTGAATACCGGCGCTAATGTGTCTTCGCCTGCATTGATCAGCTAATCTAATGCTGTGTGTGGTAGTTTGAGCTGCTCAAAGCCTGTGACGGACGAGTCTGGGGTATGCAGTACGATGTATGTAACTACTGGTGCAATGAGGCCTGTACCAAGTTAAGCGCTGCGAAGTACTCAATGCCCTCGACTAGCGATAGCATGCTCTTTAGCTGCGTTGTATGACGTAGCCGTCGGTCTACACGTCTTGGTGTCACAGGAGATGCATCGAGCAAAATCGAGCTGGGTAACCAGCAGATGTGGCGTTTCCTCCCCTCTATTGACAGTAAAGTGGAGTTGCTTATGAAGAAACTTGTAGTTTCTATAGACGTCGACTCAGTGCAGGAAGCCACAAAGCAAACTTTACCTGCTGTCGATGAGGTGACCAATATCGAGTCGTGTGCTCAGTTAACCAGAATGCACATAACAAGGCCGCTGATGCCGTACTCTTCGTCATCCAAGGCGAGACCAATCTTATAACCGCTGTGCCTACTAAATGCAAGAGGAGGAGGGCTAAGAAAGTCCTTAATGCCGCCACAA